CACACCAGAATTCAATCCCACCGTCATTTCTCATCCTAAAGAAAACCCCCGGGGGGATCTTTGCTCATTATTCTTATTCCCAGCATAAAGCTAAGAACGGTAAGAAAAAGTTTCTCTTGACAACAGCCACAGTTTTGTACCCTGCCAATTCTCAGTTCTTTCGTTCATCAAGCTCCACCTGAATATTACATCTGTTTAAGAACCAGTATCTCTGGAAGACTTTATTAGCTTACAGGGAAGAGAAAGAAAATTATACAACATTCACCCCTCTCTTTTGCCCACTGCAAAACCAAACCCAAAACCAACCCCAAATTACCAGCTAAGGTGGTCTAAATTCAATAACCTCACCTCTTTCTTCTGGGGTAAGCGTTTAAAACTTTGTTGTAATTTTCTTTCCCCTCTCAGCCCTTTCCAACATTCCCTACCACCACAAAAAGGTGAAAGATTAAGGCGGCTAAGAAAAACAAGAATGTTTTATTCTTAAGTTTTTGTTTGGTATGTTTTTAAAGGAGACAAGCAGCACCACTGGCAAACCACTAATAAACAAGCAAACAAAAAAATTACAATAAAAAAGATCGACTCCAATCCCTGTGCTTACATTAACCAGCTGTTTTTGTCGTCTTCTCTTCTTTCACAATCTCCTCACAAATTATTTTAGTTCTCTTCCTCTTGCTTTTCATAAAGTAGAATGTTGTATGCTACATGCTTTTTTTCCTACACAAGTGTTCCCTACCATCTCCCAACCTCCTTAACATCTTATTTTTCCACGAAGAATGATAAAATCATCAACATATTTTTCTGAAGAATAAAAAAAATACTAAAAGCAAAACTAATCAGTATCCCTTTAATTTTGTTCTGGTGTTCCCAAAGGATTTACCAAAAAGCTTTCCATCAGATATTTACATGAGAAGTCAAAACCAGAAAAATACATTGTAAACGACTATCCAATAGATTTAGAACTCCAGTTTGCATGTGTAATCATCAAGTAAAATGGTCAAATTTGGGGCTGCGCAATAAGGATAGAGAATCTCGAATTCTATCACAACACCAGAAAAACAGAATAGAATTTTTTATGTAACATCCTTAACACTAAACAATAATGAGTCAGTATGGTTAGTGAAAAGATTACCTAAGACAAAACACACACATCGTCAGACTGAAACCTCAATAATACAAACCCACTGAACTGAGAAACTGCAGTTGACTATGACACCAAGTACCCAGATATAGATCTAAATCCCATAGGTCATACTTAACCCTGCTATAGTTCACGAAGATACACAGGATATCTTTTGCTCCTTTACAGCCTGTGCCTACCTAGAAATACTCCCGGCACTTAATGTCTGCACATTTGCTAAACCAATTATTAGGAAGAGTTCTGTACGTAAGACAACAAAATTCACATTCTTCTACTATTTCCTTAAACATTGTATAAAGTAAAACATATGCCTCCAAAATTAATCTAAATTCAGTTACAGGTTATGACTGATAATAAAAGATCACTGTACCTGTCTCAGGCATGCAGTTATTGTGACGTTCTACAGGACACAAGGCGTCAAACAAATATAGACTCCTTGTACTATGCATGCTATCTACAAGAAAATCTTCAGTTCTTCAAATATGCCATTCAACTTTTTAAAATTCAATACAAATTCTAAATGCTGCTCCAATTCTGATAACCCCTCTTTTAGCTAAGCCAGTTGGTTGGTAGTGATTTGTCAGATAAATTACACAATACTGTTTCTGCTTCCTGATTAGATAAGCAGATAAGTTTTTTTTCTGGTACAAACATTTATGCATAAAATCTTTCATTTTCTGTGAAGACTTGCAACTTTGTAATCCCCTCTCCCCAAATCTACATGCCAGCAGAAGTCAACCATGGACATTCTGCATTTGCTAAAGGAAAACATGAAGGAAGTATTAGCATGCAAAAAGCAATTCTGTCTACAAAACTGAACAAACGTTCAGGAAATTTCTCTCCCTCTGTGCTGCCTACATATACACTGTAGAATAAAGGAAAGCAGTAAGCAGTATTTCTATGTCTTTACTTCTGCCCTACAGATGGGGCACAGGGGGCACGTGGCCTCAGTGCATCTCTTGCATTACAGAAATGAACAGCACAGCCAGACTGCGACCCCTTTGCCCCAGGATGCGCTAAGAAGCATCAACTGCTTTGGCAGGCAGAGATTTGGCAGCGTTTCTCTGCACTATCATTGGGGAATGCTGCCTCCCAGGTCCCCACCTGGGTCAACAGGAGGAGGAAGAGCAGCCCATCACTCTAAACACATACAGTACACAACCAGAAAGGAGGCAGCAACGCAGGGATGAAGCTAGCTACAAGCATTTTTTGACATCTGACGTCATTTTTTTCTACAAAACCAAAGTGAACCACCTTGTCGTGGTCTGCAGGAGACAAATCTTCCCACCCCTTCCCCCCACCATCCTCTCCGCAAAGAGTTTCACTAGTCTAAAAAGGCAAAGGCTCCTTGCTTAACTGGTTACAAGGAAATGGCCACATAAATCCGGTCGTATCAACTCAAGTTAACAAAATGCAGACAAATACTACAAGAAGTAAATGTGATGAGATCAGATTTTACACTATCTTTATCAAACAGGACAGTAATTTTCGATACTTAAAGTCCTGTCCGTCTGTAATCCTCCAGTTAACCTTATACACGTAAAGTCTGATTTTTGTAAGACACGGCTTACAATCTCCTGGCACCACAAATGCCACAGGAAGGCCTACTCAAATAGATAAGATGGCAAAGAAAAATGAGTTGGGTTTGGTATTAAGACGTACCACGACCACAACCCTTGTCCATGAACAAAGCAAACAAAAAAAGTCAACGTCACACAACAGATGTGTGCGAGATCAGAATAAGCGCACAAACGTTTCTGCAAGTACGTGAGCAATGTTTTCTGCAGACCAATCTAACTCTTCAAATTTTTCCCCACCTTTGTTAATGAGGATAGTGAGGCTCAAGGAAGATTTACAGTGGGTGTTCAGACACACAGATGGGTGTGGTGAAAACACCTGTATTAACAGACTGCTTAATTGAGCACAGTAGAATTATTTCAACATACTAACTTATTCAAACTTCGTGAAAGTTCTAAGTGATCCAAAGCAAGTTACTACTTGGAAGCAATAAAATTCCTAAAGCTTTTTATTTTCTAAATATAACAGTCAGGTTTGGTTTTTTAAACTGTATTACAACGCAAGTACTATAAAAGCTAATAAGTGCTTCACACCTGTCACTATCATATTGTCAGCAATGAAATCACACTTTGTTTGGAAATAATTTTTCTGGACAGTAGGTTTAAATAGAGCTCCTTTGACAGAGTCTCTAACCTCCCCAAAACCAAACAATGAGAGACTAGGGCTGATAATCTAAACTGAATCGTTCTAGGAAACAATTTGCATATTAGGTATGACTAAGAGAAGGGATGCGCTTAGATCTCTGTGTCTCAGGTAAGCTTATAAGAAGAATTTGTGTTCAAGGACTTCTAGGCGCAAAACATTTTATCGCAACAAATTAAGCTGCTTATGAAGGCCAAGCTCCAGTAGCCAGATTTTTGTTCGATTACTTTCGAATCAAATGTATGCTCAACATTGCTGACAGACACACCAACTGTTTTGAGCCTTGAACCTTTTACCTATAAATATACTACACGAAAATCCCAGTTCTGCCTCTAACTTATTTTTGGGCTGGCAAAATAGAGAGATTCAGGCATGTAAGAATCAAGACAGGAAGACAATCAAGCTTGGCATCTCTATAAAGGTCTTTCAAAAGGGCGGTTTTACGGTAGTTTAAGTAATTTTATTTAATGTGTACTCCATGCAATTTTAGAGTTTATCACACAAATCTACGTTACTGATTAATTCATTCTTTTTTCAAGAGCTTGTTTAGAAAACATAAGATTCCTTTAAGCTGCCAAGATGCTCAAAATTAAACGCACGTGTAATGACAACTATAATATAACGAGAAACTTAACTTCATTTCAGAATATATATTATGACATTACAGGTAATAGCGGGATTTCTCTCAGCATCAGTAAGTCACACCAAAGTTTCACTACGATGGGATGGTTCATTATGAACTGACTTCACAAGAAATATTTCTCATGACAGAAAGATGGTATATGTATACGGCTTTCTTACCAGAACAGAAACAAACAGAAAGCTCCGTGAGAATACGTCCCAAACCATTTCACTAGCTGCATTAGGTGTTACCCCAGCGCGATGTTAACAACACGCGTCACAAACAAAACGTGTCAATTTGATTTGCCTACGCTCACCACTAAAGTTTCTCCTCTCCCAACTGACAGAACTGTGTCAGGCATGGTGTATTAGCAAATACCATTAGCCTGGAATTTGCCTGTTCATACCTATGGTACCAGAAAACCTTATGGCCCAAATGACCTATTATATTTGGTTTTGCACAATACGCATGGCTTAGCCTAACGTAAGATAATACCAGACGTTGGCCGCTCGGTTGACTGTAAGTCACGCTCAGCAGCGAGAATGAAAGAATAAAATGCGACTTGAGCTAAAGTGCACGAACTCAAAGATCGTAACAGACCATTTCCCTCCGCGAGTGAAAATGTTTTTCACTCCAGTCGCCAATGATAACGTAACGTTTAAAGTTGACGCACGGGTTTGTACGCTTATCTTCACGCAGGAGCAAGTGAAACGTTGCACCAAGAAAGGACAGGGTCTTCAAAAAAAAAATCCAATATGGCCACTGATGCGTAGTTGTCTTTTGACTTAAAATTGCCTTATCTTCTACCACGTCTGCCAGTCGCACGCGTACACCTGTTATACTCGTACTTCAAAAGAAGTTGACACAGTGACAGTCATCTGTGCGTATCCAACCCTGAAACATTCTTCACGGCAGAGAGATCCACGCGCTATTAGACTACCCTGTCAAGGCCAAACCACAGTCATCCACAGCCACCAAGAGACAGACAGGTAGAGAGGTGTGCCAGCACTATCCACTTACCTTCTTTATTAAGCCTCATAACCTCCCTGCTTTTTCCACCCTCCTTTCCAGTCTCTTCTAGATCTACACCTGCAGAAGAGAAGCAGAGTCAGGTAGCGCCGAGGGCCCAGAGGTGTGCACTTATTGTTCGGCGGGGGGAGGAGAGGTGAGGAGGTGAGCGGTGTTTCTATTTGCAACAGCACAAGCACAATGGTCGAGGCATCTGCCAGGGAGCGGAACCGCCGGGCCC